ACCATTATACACAGATGAGAATGAATACACTATTGTATTCATTCAGCCGGATGTAATTTATAGTAATGTATTTTGTTTATTAAAAAATGACTGGGCTGGGCAGGGTGGCTCATGCCTGTAATCCCAGCACTTTGGGAGGCTGTGGTGGGAGGATTGCTTGAGTCCAGGAGTTCCAGACCAGCTTGGGCAACATGGCAAAACCCTGTCTCTATAAAAAATACAAAACAATGAGCCGGGCATGGTGGCAGGTGCCTGTAGTCCCAGCTACTTGGGAGACTGAGGCAGGAGGATCACTTGAGCCTGGGAGGTCCAGGCTGCAGTGAGCCGTGATCAGGCCACTGTGCTCTAGCCTGGGTGACAGAGTGAGACCAGAAAAAAAAGACTGAATACAGACATGTGCACTGACCCTTTAGAACATGATTTTCTTTTCTTTTCAGTCTCTGCCTCCGTGTTACAGTTTACGTTTTCTCTTTTGTCGTGCAGATTTCTGATACATTTTTAAAATATCTCGTCCTTTGTCTAAGTTTTTGCTTTGACTAATTTGAAGTTGCAAGTGTGGGTTTTGGTGGCTTTGTGTAGATGAATCACTTGACCTGAAAACAAGGACTTTCGCTTTGCTAGAAAATCAAGGACAGAGTTTCTGGAATGGACTGCTCTTGGGTTTTCCTTAGAGGAAGCTTGTGAGAAGCACAGTTTCTGTGCATAAGAGTGGGCTTAAACTGCAAAGGTGATCTGCAAAGATTTCCTTCAACTCTCAAGTTGAAAGAGGCCTTGCTGAGGAAACAGGCAGCTAATGGGCAGAGCCTCAAACCAGGGGAGTCTAGGTCCAGGCCCGGGCGCTTCCTGCTGTCAGGCTGCCTCCTCACACCGGCAGGCGTTCCTGGGATTCACAGCAACAAAAGAGCCCTCTGCTTTGAAAGGGGTTCAGTCGGTCGCTTCTGTAGTCTGGACTCTGGAATCTAGGGATTTGCTGAAGCTCATGGCCCAGGGTCTTGACGTAGTGTGAAGTTCTGAGTGATTTCCTAAAGACGGCGTCCTGAACCGTGGGCCTGTGGTGGTGAGTGCATGGACTTCAGGATATCTGTGAACTTTGGGGTGGGGAAAAAAACATCCTTATTTCTACCAGCTTTTCACTGAAATTCGGTATTTCCTTCCTGCGTGAATGGAGGTAGCACAGCCCATGACATTTACAGTCATCAGAGAAATGGTCAGTTTTCCTGTTACATAATAGTGATGTAGGTGTGTTCAAAGAGTGACTGGCATTTATCATTGCTCTCAAATTATGGTCATTATTAGCACTGCTGCTACCCTCTTGTTTGGCGTGTTAATAAGGAAATACGTACATTACTATGTCTCAAGTTTGTTTTTAAGTAATACATTAATAACTGTGTTCCATATAGTTGCGTAAAATGAAAATCACTTAAAAGCAACCTGAGGCCAGGCGCAGTGGCTCACGCCTGTAATCCTAGCACTTTGGGAGGCCTAGGTGGGCGGATTGCCTGAGCTCAGGAGTTCAGAACCAGCCTGGGCAACACGGTGAAACCCCGTCTCTACTAAAAAATGCAAAACAATTAGCCGGGCGTGGTGGTGGGAGCCTGTAGTCCCAGCTACTCGGGAGGCTGAGGCAGGAGAATTGCTTGAACCTAGGAGGCAGAGGTTGCAGTGAGCCGAGATCACCACTGCACTCCAGTCTGGGTGACAGAGCGAGACTGTCTCCAGAAAGAAAAAAAAAAAAAAAGCACCCTGAGGAGAGGTCCCTAGCCCTCACCATTCTGCCAAGGGGAGAGCAGGACCTCGCCAGGGACCGGGTATCACTATGTCCTCTGATGACAGAGCTGCTGGCCAGAGACAGTCTACACAGGCATTGCAGAAAGAAAAGTAGCTCGATTTTGCTGTCTAACAGAACTCTTCCCAGTCATGCAGTAATGACAAAACACGCCCCAAGTGGATAAAATACAGACCTGTTCTCAAAAGAGAATATAGAAAGAATTTTATTTAAATCGGGCAAAAGCCTATTGTTTTTATAAATTTTATTTAATTAAGTTGTCATGGTGGGAAAAATTATATTCAATTTATTAGTTAAAAAGTGTAAATTTGTGTTCTGGGATCTGTGATTATTTACTGTTATAGCAGCGGGGTTGGGGTGGGGTTGTGCTTTGGGAACTTAGGGGTTTATAATAACTTTCAGGATCAGGACAATGTAAATGACTTAAAAAAATCTCTTTGCATGAAAAAGTTTGACTTTCTGATTCTCAGGCGTGTTGTGGCAAAATGGTCCCTGGAGTTTTTGACCCTGTGTTTAAAGAAATGTGCTATAAAATAAAAAATAATTTGGAAGAAGAATTGGCTCACACATTACTTGCATTGTGCCTTCTTGCATGTGGAACTATAAATACCAGCTACTAGAAGTTCCCTTACAATGATGGACTGCGTGAAGGTACATTCTTAAAGTATTCATGTGGCAATAATAGTAACTGATATTTATTGAGCACATAACGTGGCTAAGCATTTCATGTGTTGCCTAATGTAGTCCTCTCTCCAACCCCACAAGTCTGCCCTCAGCCCCGTTTAACAGATGAGGTAGCTGAGTTGGAGAAGCTAAGCAATTTATCCGAGTGCTAGTCCTGCCAGCTTCGCTTTGCAGAGCTCTCACATGGGTGCGTTCTGTTTGCACGCCTGTGCGGTGATCCTCGGTGTGGGCCACAGCCTTGACCCTTTGGCTGCTTTTGCATCTGCACCCTGCAGGTTAAGGAGAGCCTGTGGGCAGACATCCCACATTCTTAATCATTTTAGCCCTGGAGCTCGAGTGGAAATGCTTCCTTCCGCAGGGGTGTCTGAGCTCCACGTGTTTATCGTCGGCCACCCTCCTAGGATTGCATCCCTGCAGGAGCCTGCAGCCTGCTCTGCTTCAAGGCTCAGCCACAAAGCTGCCTCAAAACCCGATGGCCTGCCTCATCTGACTGAGACAGAGGTGAGCAGGAGGCAGAATGATACTGGTCACTTGGCTCTGGTCTTCCAAGGTGGGGTTTTAGCAGTCTCAGGTAAAAGTGCAAACCAAACACACAGCTACTTTATGGAGACCTAGATTCCTGAGATGTATTTTTCTGGCATTGCTTTTTCTTGGTGTGAATTTCCTTTTAAAGATAGAGATAATATACTGACTCTTAAGCGTAGTTTTTGAAAAGCGAGATGCTTCCTGTAATCTCACCATCCTGAAAGAGAAACTTTTCATATTTGCAGCTCATCCTTGTAAGTATTTATAACTTTTATATAATTTTCTATTCTTCTCACTCTGAATATTTTTTCCACTTTACTAGTGTTTCAAATCCTTTTTTTTTCTTGTCGTGTGATATCTCATGGAGTTGAAAGCACTACAGTTGGATAAGCAGTGTGCTGAGCTGGACATCTAAATTTTTGCTCCAGTAGACAAGGTGCCTGTGTACATCTCCGGGTATATTTCTCTTCTTCAGTGGAACCATTTTTTTTTAACGTAAATTGCTTGGAGAGGGATTGCAGAGTTACATGGTATGGACATCTTTATGGCTCTTGATGCATCTTGCCATAACACCCTTCCAAAGGGTTATGCCAATTTTCAGTAGTGCGGAAGTATCAATTTCACCCAAACTCTACTGCTTCTGAAAGTCAGTGTAAATGGCCCCTCCATAAAGGCGTTTTGGATTGATCTATTCTAGAGGACCGTGTCTCAGAGTGATGATAAAACAGTGTCACTGCTGTTTTGAAAACAAATTGATGAGAATTTGTACATACTGTGACTACTGTGTCCTTTAAAACAGGCTGACTCTAAAATGGTCCTTGAATTTCAGGGACTCTGCCAGTAGGATTTAGCATTCCATCATGGTCATCCCGAGACCAGCCCCACTGCCAGTTCTTGGCGTTTCCTTTTGAGCTGGTGGTCCAGTTTTTGAAGGGACTCCCTGACGGCAGATGGAACATTCTCAGCCGTGGCATGACTTCTCCCTTTGTGGGTGAGTTTAGCTTTTGTTAGTAGACTGTTCTGTGGGGACTTGTTTGGGGCATGGTGTCAGTGACAGGGCTAGATTATCGTATTTTTGGTCACTGACTAAGTGAGACAGAGGTAACGGGATTTATTTTTTTAATTGCTAATATGTTCCTTAAAGACATTTTCAGAAACAGTCACAAATATTTTAGATTTTCACACCCGTAACAGGCAGATAGCCTCCCACAGATACTGCTTAGAATAGGGTGTGTGTGTGTGTGTGTGCGCAAGTCTATGGAGGTATGTGTATTAGCTGTCTTTCGTTATATAAAAAATTAAGAGTCCAGGTAAGCCACACCCAAACTCCAGACCCACAGAGACAATAAATACGTAGGTGTAAGCTGCTGAATTTGCAGTGACTTGTTACGTGGCAGCAGGTGACACTTACACTGCACAGGTGTGACCAGTTCCTGATACTCTTGGTCAGACTTTGCTTCCTGCCAAGCAGGACTCCCTGAAATTGCTACCCTGGATAGTAGAAATTGCTTTACACCATTCCCTTCAAGAGTGTTAAAGGAGACAAAAGGATGAGGGGGAGGCGCAGATGGGGCTGAGTGGGGAACGGGGGCCTGAGAAGCACATTCTGGTAGCAGGAGAGTGTGGGAATGTGGGGCCTCCCCACCTGGGAAAGTCTGTGTTCTGCATGGCTCTGGGAGGGCCTGAAAGGTGGGGGAGAACCTGATGTCGTTCTTTCTCCTTCTCTCACCTCTTTTAGGTTTTCTTTTTCTTCTTTTATTTAGGGATGGGGTCTCGCTCTGTTGCCCAGGCTGGAGTGCAGTGCTGCCATCATGGCTCACTGTGGCCTCGACCTCCTGAGCTCAAGCGATCCTCCCACCTCAGTCACCCGAGTAGTTGAGATGACGGGCATACACCACCCGCAGTAAAGTTTTTAATTTTTGTTGTGGAGATGGAGTCTCACTGTGTTGCCCAGGCTGGTCTCAAACCCCTGCCCTTAAGGGATCCTCCCACCTCAGCCTCCCAAATGCAGGGGTTACAGACTTGAGCCACTGCGCCTGGCCTAGGTTTTCTTTTTCTCCACTGTTTTGTATTTGTTCACTTGTCACCTTTCAGCGTGGTCTGTGAGGGGAGAATCCTGGCAGGGGCGGGGTCTGCAGGTGAACATGGAACCAGCCATGGCCCTGTCCCCAGACCTTTCCTTTACGTGGCTTTCCCTCCATCCTGTGGGCATGCAGGATTTTCATTCCTTCCAAACTATTTCCATCTGTAGTGAGTAGTGTTAGTTTGACTTATGAATAAATATTTAAGCCATCAAATTCGTTTAGTAACTGGCTGGAGGCTTCTGGCTCCATTTTCCTGCTGCCTGTGCAGTGTTGGTGAAACTCAGGAATGGAGAGAAGATGCGAAGAGACACGCTTGGGAGGAACTCTTCTCACCTGAGGACTGGTATGGTCAGCCAGGTCGGGCCCACACACCCCAGTGCCGGGTTCCTGGTGCTTGCTTATCTTTCGGGAGCCAGGGAGACTCTGACCTGGAAGCCTGGACCCCCTTCTGTGTTCATCTCATAGATACCATTCCATATTCCCAGGTATATACTTGTAATGTTATTCATGTCACACATGTCATTGAACCAAATGCAATTTGCTGTTAATGTAATACTGCTCGTGACAAGACCTACATGGCCTACCTGGTTGTCTGATATGAGCTTAGAAGTCTAACAGGAAGTTCACCTGCAAAATCGGATCCTCCCTCTTCCCTTGTTTCCACCATAACCTAGTTAGTATTTTGTGAAAGGTGTTCTTTGTGAGTGTTACATTTTGGTGCGCTGATAATACAGTAATTTAGGTAGGAATATCTGGGACTCTTTGTGGTTACGGTAGAGGCTGGCAAACTGGCCCGTGGGCCAAATCCGGTTCACCTGTTTGGGTGTGAATACAGTTTTATTAGAACCCAGTTGGGCTCATTCATTTCCACAGCATCTGTGGCTGCCCCATGTTGCAACAACAGAATTGAGGAATTGTGATCATGTGGCCCACAAAGCCTGAAATATGAGGCCTTTTCCAGAAGAAGACCGTAGCCCCTAGTGTGCAGCAAGGAACAGAAGTCAGGAGAGCAGCACTGGAGTCCCTGCTTTGTCCTTTTATTGGCGCGAGGTCTCCGTGCCCTCACCTGGAAAAGGACGAGGAGGATGCCCATTGTTTCAGGGGATTGCTAGCATGAAATTGTGTGAGATACTGGGTGGTTCCCAGCACTTAATATGCACTTAATAAACACTAATTCCTTCCCTCTCTGTTACTCACATCCCCGCTTCTCATCCCTAAGTGGTTGCTGCCTTTCTCCATGTGAAAAGTTTGAGACAAAAAAATGGCCATCAGTTCTTGTGTTTTCAGAAAGGAAGACCTGTCAAGCAGTACTGTCCAGCAGAAATAGAACATAAGCTGCCAGTGTGCGCTGGGTGTGTAACTTCACCTCTCCCAGTAACCACATTAAAAAGGTTACAAATGTTAAGTCTTCTTTAGCCCAGTATAACCAAAATATTTCAACATATACTCAAATAATTACTAACACCATTCATTTGCTTGCTTTGCCTGTCTGTAGAGTCCAGTGTATGTTTGCCCTCACAGCACGACATAGCTGGACTCGCCACCCCTTGAGTGCTCAGTGGCCTGTGGCTGGGGGCTGTGTTATCAAACAGGTCTCTGATTCTCTGACGCCACCTAGGTGTCCCCTCATTTGGTTCAGTTCTGACACTAGCTTCTCAGGGTTCGTGCCGGCCTCACAAGTTTTAAGGGCTCAGTCCCACAAGACCATCCCCATTTCCGACACCAGTTGCACGTCCTAAGTCACCTGTACTTCTGATCAACTGGCTGTAAATTGGGGTTCCCGTGACCTCACTTCGGGTTGCATAATTTGCCAGGACAACTCACAGAACTCAGAAAGGCACTTTGCTTATTGTTAGTGGTTCCTGTAAAGCAAGATTGTCCAACCCGCAGTCCAGGACGGCTTTGGAGGCAGCCCAACACAAATTCTTAAACTTTCTTAAAACATGATGAGATTTCTTTTGAAATTTCCTTTTTCTCATCAGCTGCAGTTAATGTTAGTGTATTTTATGTATGGCCCAGGATAATTCTTACAGTGTGGCCCAGGGAAGCCAAAAGATTGGACACCCGTATTTTAAAGGATGCAACTCGGGAACAGCCCAAAGGAAGCGACGCACGGGACGAGGGGTGGGAGTCTTCATGCCCCCTGGGGGAGACACCGCCCAGTGTACCATCCCAACGAGTTCATCACATGGAGGCTCCCCACATCCCATCGTTCAAGAGTTTTTGCAACCCAGTCTCCTGGCCCCCCACCCCTCCCAGAGGTTGGGGTGTAGGGAATCTGGAAGGTTCCCACCCTCTAATCACACGTTTCGTCTTTCTGGCAATGACCAGCTTCCATCCAGGCTATCTAGGGGCACCCCCCGAACCCCCAGTCACTTCATTAGCATAAGCTCAGGTGTGGTGCACTGGGGCTGTCTATGAATCACTAAGGGCACTCTTGTTGCTCAGTAAATTCCAAGGGCTTTAGGAGCTGTATGCCAGAAACCAGGGACCAAGACTAGATGATCTTTTGTATTATCCGCACCAGGGCAGCCCTGTCAGCCTGCTGCCCCGCCCCACCCCGCCCCTCCCCATCCCCAGCTGGCTGTGCCCTATTTAAAACCCTCCTCTCAGTAAAACAGCTGATGCGTGCCTATTTTACATTCTTCTCTACCCTGGGTCTGACTAATCATGACTCTCACTGTGCTGGTAACTCCCCCGTTCTTGCTTCTCAGGAAGCAAATGTAGGAAAAATATAGTAACATTTCTAAGGAAGCTTAGAGATACAAAATGTTTAAATGTAGCACAAAAATTGTGACTCTACTTATAATAACTTGCAGAATAACAACTCCACAGTAGACGTTAGGCATCCATGGCTGCAGGTTTTCTAAGAAATGGGACGTGTGGGTGACTCACTGCATTGCCCGCTGCCCTCTGGAAGGAACCATGGGGTAATTAGAGTGATTGGCCAAGAAGGGCCAGGGATCCACGCAGCTCCCACCCTGAGGAGTCACGCTGTCCAGCGCAGCCAGGCGGCCACAGAAGCCACTGTGGCAGGGAATGCATGTGTCAGGCGTGGTCAGTAAAATGAGAGTAGAAGGTAAGCCGGAGAAAAACTCCGATTTTAATCCCTCAGAGTAGCCTTTGGCCTCTCCTCCTTCCTTGTTTGATGTTTCTTTGTTTTTAACTTTTTGACCTGCTTTTTGATTCAGGATTTTGGAGCCAGACTGCCTTGGCCCCTCCATGAGATCTGACTTGGGCTGGCTACTTTCCCCTTGGTGCCTCTATTTCCTTCATTGAAAAGTGGGTGATTGTGCAGATTAAAGTGAGTCAAACCATTGAGAGTGGTGGCTGGCACACAGCATTATTTAAGTATTTTTGCACTTAATTTCATAACATAAAGCACTAATAAGTAAAAAACAAATGATATATTGCAACAATAAAAAAGAATGGTGCTGTGGAAATGGGGTGTGTTTGCTAAAGGAATTTCTAAGAATCAGACTTCTAAAAAAGTTTTAATATTCTGGACAGAATTCTTTTCTACAGAATTCTTTGAACTTTAAGAGCATGATTGAAATTTCCGTTACAGTATCACTCCAGTTAGAGGTAGACTTAGTGGCTCTATCTAATGCTGAGATCTTTTTAAAGGATGATGTTTGCATCTGGCTTTGATCTTTCTGAGAGGTAGATTCATGTGTCCTGATTAAAAAGTACAGTGCTTTTTTTACAACTAAGAAGACCTGAAACTTACTGTAAGGTTGTGTGTGTGTATGCGAATGTGTGTTTACATAACTGATGGTATTTAAAATCATTTTCTTAGAAGTAGAAGGCTATAGAATATCTGTCATTTTTAGAGTGTGTGGATATGCTCCAGAAACAAATCATTGATCCGTAAAATGCTCAGGTCAGTGATTCGGATTTGATTCTTGTGTGAATCACAGAGGGCTATATTGCCTTGGATATGGATATTGATATTTAGTAATTTGAATTAGTTTTCATCATTTTAAACTTAAAGATCTTAACTTTAACAAGTCAAGAAAAATAATACTTCTGAAAATGTATTTCTAGCCTTTTAAAGTATTTCAGATCCAGGAAGTCATTTTGGGTAGCAAACTATATTAGATTAAACAGTTTGGCACTTCAGTTTGCTTATCATTTCAATCTTCAGTGTTGGGCAGTCATGATGTTAATATCACTCTTTTTTTCTTTTTTTTTTTTTTGAGACAGAGTCTCGCTCTGTCACCCAGGCTGGAGTGCAGTGACACGATCTCGGCTCACTAAAACCTCCGCCTCCCAGGTTCACGCCATTCTCCTGCCTCAGCCTCCCAAGTAGCTGGGACAACAGGCGCCCGCCACCATACCTAGCTAATTTTTTTGTGTGTTTTTGGTAGACACGGAGTTTCACTGTGTTAGCCAAGATGGTCTCAATCTCCTGACCTCATGATCTGCCCGCCTTGGCCTCCCAAAGTGCTGGGATTACAGGTGTGAGCCACTGCGCACGGCCCAATATCACTATTTCTATCCCCTTTTACATTTTTCATTCTGACTTTCTAGTAAAAAAAAACATGAGGGCTGGGTGGGGTGGCTCATGCCTGTAATCCCAGCACTTTGGGAGGCCAAGGCAGGTGGATCACCTGAGGTCAGGAGTTCCAGACCAGCCTGACCAACATGGTGAATCCCCGTTTCTATTAAAAATACAAAAATTAGCTGGGCGTGGTGGGGGTGCCTGTAATCCCAGCTACTTGGGAGGCTGAGTCAGGAGAATCACTTGAACCTGAGAGGAGGAGGTTGCAGTAAGCCGAGACTGGGCCACTACACTCCAGCCTGGGCTACAAGAGTGAAACTCCCTCTTAAAAAAAAAAAAAGAGACCTAATTTAGACAAATATTTCAAGAAGTTTCCCATTGTTTCTAATCATGTCACTTACGTAGACAGTAATGTTCTTTTCTTATCAATAGAAGGCAGCTTTTTTAAAGCTGATGTTTCTCAAATAGAGGCTATTGAGATTTTTTTTGAGTTCATAAACCTTTCTAGAAAAAGCACGTACCTGGGTTGACCACTACTGGCAGCTTTTTCTAACCATTGTTTTCTTTTGTCTGAAGTAAAAACCCTCTGGTGTGAAAGCTGCCATTCCTTTGTGAGGCCTGCCCATCACTCTCATCTATATTTTTCTCCACAGCTGTTCCCAGAAGCTTCCTCAGACTGACTTCCTCCCTCTGTTAGGGCTGTTCCAGGGCCTAATTTTCCACTCCCTCCCGGCCACCCTTCACAATCGGATATTGTTGTCGAAGTGTCCAGGAACTCTTCAGCTCTGAGGTCTTTGAGAACTCAGCTTGTAAGCTGCACCCTGCCTGTGGAACTGCCCGTCCTGGCTCAGCCCAGGGCAGTGTCTGAAGGATGGGGGACGGGGTAGCGTTTGCAGAGGCTGAGAATGCTGTGTTAGCAGTTTCCACCGGTGTCTTCCCAACAGCCTCTCGGAGCCTCCTGGGAACTCTTGATCTCTTTGGCCCTGAGTTTGAGAACCACAGATTTATTTAGGCTGTTGATTTTTAACTTTCTCAAGGCTCAGCTCATTATTTATTTGTTTATTCCCAAAGGGGAACCTTCTGCCCCATGGAATAAACAGCACTAAGCATCCTTCCCATTTGCCTGTGTTTGGTCAGGATAAGAACCTAGAAAAAGGAAAATGTTCTTTTCGTTGTTCCCAGGGAAGGTGGGCATAGCCCTGGGTTTCACTTTAGCCCACCTGATGTTCTGCCTTTTAGATAGCTGATCTAGCCTAACAGATGCGCTTCTCCCAAAGTGGCCGGTTCTCTGGTCCTCCTGCCTCCGCAGCACTGGGGTCAGCCGCCTGTTACTGATGCTGGGTTAAACATTGAGCCGTAGTTGCCTGTCATTGGTGGCTCAGCATGCAGTCATATAGCAGAGGACATGGGAAGAAGTCAGTGACAAGAACACCATGCCTCTGACTTTAGGGAAGCTCGGAGGCATTAGTGACCTCCTGCTAGAGTTTTTTCCTGAAACTCTTCTTTCTGGAATTAGCTTCTTCTCCCCTCCCATTTTCGCAGTGAGTGCAGCTTCCTTTCATCTGGGAGCCAGAGTCCTCCCTGTCCTCGCCCTGCATCTAGGTCTCCTGGTCTTTCCTTCACAGTGTGTTCCTGGCCACCTCCCACATCATCCCACGTGTCCACTTGTTTTCTTTTTTTTTTTTTTTTTTTGAGACGGAGTCTGACTCTGTCACCCAGGCTGGAGTGCAGTGGCCGGATCTCAGCTCACTGCAAGCTCCGCCTCCCGGGTTCACGCCATTCTCCTGCCTCAGCCTCCGGAGTAGCTGGGACTACAGGCGCCCGCCACCTCGCCCGGCTAGTTTTTTGTATTTTTTTTTTAGTAGAGATGGGGTTTCACTGTGTTAGCCAGGATGGTCTCGATCTCCTGACCTCGTGATCCGCCCATCTCGGCCTCCCAAAGTGCTGGGATTACAGGCTTGAGCCACCGCGCCCGGCCCTGTTTTCTTTTTTTTTTTTGAGATGGTCTCACTTTGTTGCCCAGGCTGGAGTGCCGTGGTGTGATCATGGCTCACTGATGCCTTGAACTCCTGGATTCAAGCAATCTTCCTGCCTCTGTCTCCTTAGTAGCTGGGACTACAGGTTTGTGCCACCCGACTCAGTGAATTTTTAAAAATTTTTCTGTAGAGACGGGCCCTCACTCTGTTATCCAGACTGGTCTGAAACTCCTGGCCTCAAGCCATCCACCTGCCTCAGCCTCCCAAAGTATTGGAATTACAGGCATGAGCCACCCACCATCTGGCTATCACTCCCCTTTTTGCCGGTGAGTGCCAAGGACATTTTTCTTTAACAAATCAAAATGAGCGATTGCAGTTGTTTCTTGAATCCTCTAACACTGGCTTAGTCCCCTTTGTCCCGCTCCTTTGCAGCTACCCGCTTGAGGCAGACCTGTCTTCTCGCCATCTGGTACATGTGCTGGTCTCCATCAGTCCGTGCACCTTTGTTCATGCTGGTTTTTCATCCCTGGAATGCCTCCTTGTTTCCCACATGCTCAGCTCAGGGCCATCACCACTGCACCTGGCACCTGCTGGGCAGGTAACTTCAGTGTCAGTAGAAAGACCCCATGGTGTCTGGCATCTGTGCTTCATACTTAATGTCTTTCCTTCCCCTTCCCCAGTCCTCTGTCAGTACCTAATACCATAGTATCCCTTTGAGACTATGGTTCATTACTTAAATGCTAGAGCATCCTGGTGTATGGATATTTTTTATTTAAGCAGCAGTCACCCACTCAACAACTATTTGAGTGTCTACTCTGAGCCAGGTGCTATTTCAGGCCCTGGTGATCCTGCAGTGGAAAAGGAGCCCCTGAGTTCCTGCTCCCCTGAGCTCGTGTCTGGCAGGGCAGGCTGCCTGGAGAATCAGCAGTGCTGTGGACTGTTGTCTTTTGCTCTTATAGCCCAGCAGTCTTTTCTTTAACTGATTTTCTTTGCCTTAAACAAGACAAAAGCCTCCGTTTATAAGAAAGATGTCAGAGGAACCAGAATGAAGTGTGCATCTAGAAGTCCTCATGTGGAAGAGGTGGATTTTTCCAGCTATCTGTTTTTCTTTTGAGACGGTGTCTCACCCTGTTGCCCAGGCTGGAGTGCAGGGGCACAATCTTGGCTCACTGCAACCTCTGTCTCCCAGGTTCAAGCGATCCTCATGCCTCAGCCTCCAGAGTAGCTGGGACTACAGGTACGTGCCACCACACCCAGCTAATTTTTGTATTTTTAATAGAGATGGGTTTTCACTCTGTTGGCCAGGCTGGTCTCCAACTCCTGACCCCAAACGATCCGCCTGCCTCAGCTTCCCAAAGTACTGGGATTACAGGTGTGAGCCGCAGCGCCCAGTCTCCAGCTATCTTAGTAACAGATGTTTTAGGTACCTGAGTCCTCCTCTCAGTAGCTGAGCCCTTGCAGCAAGGGCTCTGTGATGATGGTCTGAGGGTCTGACAGATGCTCAGTATTTTCTGTGTTAGCAAAAATAAAATTGACGTGTTGGTCAGAATCTGGTGGTCCTCCCTGTGAATGGGCTCCTTGGACTTTGGTGTGCTGAAC